CTGGCCAGGCGTCTGCGTGGAGTGGCGAAAACACCCACCTTTGCTCTTTTTTGCAGACATGCTTGCTAGGACTAAAAGTTTTGTTAAGTCGGGGGATTCCTTGACAATGAAAATTTATCTCCCCAATAAGCAATCAACATTATAATAAAGGGAAAATGCTTTGTGTGCACCTTTGAGAGTGCATCAGATATTAATCTAAACATCAAATTAATTATAGTTTGCAAAATGAATAGTGGTGCGTGAGGCCCCAATACTTCTCTGGCTTTCTCCCCCCTCCCCTTCTGCTCCGGGCTGCCTCCCCCTCCCCTGCTTGTGGGCTGGGGGTGGAGAAAGGGAGTGTGATGGGTCCTGTTTTTGTTTTTTTTTAAAATATTCCTGTCTCTCCCTTCAGTGGGAATCTCCTGTGTCCTGCTAATAACAGAATAAGATTGAACAAAGCAACAGATGGAGAAGGGACCAACACTTCAATTGTCTGGGACCCTGTCATGGGACGTTGTCAATGAATAATTTAATCCCTGTAATGAATAGTGTTGTGGAGAATTCCTTCCTTCCTTCCTTCCTTCCTTCCTTCCTTCCTTCCTTCCTTCCTTCCTTCCTTCCTTCCTCCCTCCCTCCCTCCGTTCCTCCCTTGATCTCGTTTTCCTTCCTATTTTCCTTCTTTCCTTCCTTCCTTTCCTCCCTCTTCTCCCTTCCTTCCTTCTTTCCTTTCCTCCTTCCTTCCTTCCCTACCTCTCCCATTTTCCTTCCTATCTTACTTCCTTCCCTCCTTCCCTTTTTTCCTTCCATTTTCCTTCCTTCCCTCCCCTTAATCTCTCCCCTCCCCTCCCTCTCCTCCTTCCTTCCTTCCTTCCTTCCGTCACCTTCCTTCCTTCCTACCTTCCTTCCTTCTTCCCATTTTCCTTCCTTCCCTCCCCTCCCTCTCCTCCTTCCTTCCTTCCTTCCTTCCTTCCTTCCTTCCTTCCTTCCTTCCTTCCTTCCTTCCTTCCTTCCTTCCTTCTACCTCCTTCCTTTTTTCCTTCCTCCATCCTTCCTCCTTCCTTCCTTCCTCCATCCTTCCTTTCTTCCTTCCTTCTTTCATCCTTCCTTTCTTCATCCTTTCCTTCCTTCCTTCCTTCCTTCCTTCCTTCCTTCCTTCCTTCCTTCCTTCCTTCCTTCCTTCCTTCCTTCCTTCCTTCCTTCCTTCCTTCCTTCGTACCTCCCTCCCAACATTTTAAAGTCACATTACCAGAATTAACAAATAATGGCTTCTGCCATCAGGTTGAATTGTCGGTCTGATGCAGCCGGGTGCATCAGGGGCATGTCTGTTAGTAAGGAAAACTACATACAGCAAGAGGCTCAGTCACTCAGGGTTAGGACCGACACATGATGTCCCACAGGTGTTTCTTTCCTAAGGGACATCAGAAAAGCCGTACAACATTAGCAACATACTGGAGCAAAAAGGCCGTCCATATGGTTCTGCAACTGGTCCTGAATGTTCAGTCTCTTTGAAAGAAAGGCAATATGCCTCATTATTATGTTGTCCAATATAACACACTTTTCTCTTCTGGGGTTTTTCTCTTAGTTGCAATGTGGCCATCGTGATATTTACGTGGTCCTCCAGTCGTGAAAAAACTACCTTGGCTAGAATTTCTCTGGAAAGAAATTCACATAGTGCAGGGGTAGGCAACGTTGACTCTTTTATGACTCCTGGACTTCAACTCCCAGAATTCCTGAGCCAGCATGGCTCAGCTTGGAAACCTCTTTCTTTCCCCTCAGCGTGGCTGGCTCAGGAATTCTGGGAGTTGAAGTCCACGAGTCATAAAAGAGCCAAGGTTGCCCATCCTTGCAACTGGTGAAAGGTCCTTCAGTTCTGGGATTTACCCCAGCCCCAAATCCTACAGCTAGTCCTCAATTTACAACAGTTCATTTAGTGGGTGAAGTTAGAACGGCACTGAAAAAGGTGACTTATAACCATTTTTCACACTTACGACTGCTGCAGCATCCCCGTGGCCACGTGATCAAAATTCACAGACTCACATTTATGACGGTCGCAGCATCCCAGAATCACGTGATCCCCTTTTGTGACCTTCTGACCAGCAAAGTCAATGGGGGAAGCCAGATTCACTTAACAACCGTGTGACTCCCTTAACAACTGCAGTGATTCACTTACCAGCTGTGGAAAGAAAGGTCGTAAAGTGGTGCAAAATACCCTTAACAACAATCTCACTGAAACGTTGTGCTCAATTGTGGTCGTAAGTCAAGGACTACCATTACTTTTCTGAGCCTCCCTTCTCTCCCACAAGTCCTCACCTCACCATTATTCTTTACGTTCTGTCCTGCCAGCTCAAAATTAATCTCCAAGAACCCAGTTATGACCCACGTAAAAACACACGTATGCACACAACCAAAGATTTCTGTCCCTATCCCACCAGAATCTTCTTTTGGATATAATTCATGGACACATGTTGGGATTGTCTGCATTCCATGCTGACTTCTATAGGCCTCCTTGAACCTGACTAAGATCTCCATTTCTCATGGGGATAGACAGGTGTGGACCCCTGTGTTGGTATCACTCTACAAGCACCCTTAGGGGCTGTTCCCGCAAACGACTAATTTGGGACTCCCAGCACATGTTGAAGAATGTTTACTTCCGCCTTTGTACCCACGTTTTGGCCTCTGTACCCCCACTCCAGCTCACACAATTTGCTATTTCTTCTTGCCCTAAACCCCAGTGGTGGGTCAATCCACTTTTCAAAGACATTTCATGGTGCAACCCATCAGGATTCGGACACAAAGGGGAGCAATGCCCCAAGCTGGCGTTGAACTGGATCTGGAGAAGATTGAAAAAGCAAAAATTCCTCCCGAACCTCATTTTTTTGGGAAGTCCTCCCTAGCTGTGCCAGGAAGACAAGGGTTGGCCAGGTGAGAAAAGGTTTGGAATCAATGCAGGTGAGCAGAGAGCGGGCAGCTCATGAGGGGAGTGAAGTGATGGCAGGAGATGAATGCAGAGTGTTCAGAGTGGAAGCCACCACCCCGTCCAACAACATGGCAACATCCCAAACAATTAGCAGCAGCACAAGAGGAAAGAGGAGCGAGGATGGGGACCACCTACCCACATCAATGTTCTGCCATGTATCCTGGAACCCAACACTTCTGTCTCCCAAAGGTGTTTTTTCAAAAGCCAACCGGACTTTCTTGGTTCTCCTTGGTTTCTGAACTGAAGAAGCTTCTGGGATGAGAAGTGAAACATCTTCAGGCAAAACCAAGGAAGTCCAGTTGCCTTTTGAAAAAACACCTTTGGGACAACCATGATCTGGATGACTGAGAATCTCCTACCCTTCTGTCTTTGGCCAAAGGAGATCGAATTCTGCTGTAGACCAACTTCACCAAGGCCTGGGTTCACCTTCCTCTCTCCTTCGTTCCTTCCCTTCTTCCTGTCCCTCCTCCTCTGCTTTGGCACCCCACATTTCCCTCGGCATCCCCTGCCCTGACCCATTTCTGTCCTCCAGGGCTCCTTTCCCTGTTCCCTTTCCCAATGTGGAAAGGGACAGCTCGCCACGACCAACTCACCACAGCCAACTCATTGTGGGACAATTCGCCGTGGCCAACCTGCCATGGGACAATTCACTGTGGGACAATTTGTAGATTAAAAAAAGTGAAATTATCCCAAGGTGCTTTTTCAGGAAGCAACTGGACTTCCTTTGTTTTCCTTTGACGACATTTTGCTTCTCATCCAAGAAGCTTCTTCAGCTCTGACCGGATGGCAGGGAATGGAAGGATTTATACTCCTTGCAGACAGCTGGTCATTTGCCTTCTTTTAGAGAGTCGTTGAGGCCATCTGGAGGTTTATCTGTGTCCTCAGGGTCATCTGAGTGGTGTAAATGAATGTGAAGGGACCCAAGGCTGAAAACATCCTGTAGTCAAGAAAGCTCCACACTCATTTGCACTACTCAGGTGACCCTGAGGACACAGATAAAACCTCCAGGTGGCCTCAACGACTCTCTAAAAGGATTTAAGTCCTTGAAGACAGCTGGTCATTTGCATTCTTTTAGAGAGTCGTTGAGGCCACCTGGAGGTTTATCTGTGTCCTCAGGGTCACCTGAGTGGTGCAAATGAGTGTGGAGCTTCTTGACTCAGGATGTTTTCAGCCCGGGTCCCTTCACATTCATTTACACCACTCAGGTGACCCTGAGGACACAGACAAACCTCCAAGTTGGCTCAATAACTCTCTAACAGAATGCAACCAGCTATCTGCAGGGATAAATCATTCCCCCCCTCCAGTCAGAGCTGAAGAAGCTTCTTGGATGAGAAACAAAACGTCTTCAAAGAAAAAACAAGTCCAGGGCCTCCGAAAAATCACCTTTCGGGACAACCATGACCCAGATGACTGAGAACCTCCATAGATAAAGTGAAATTAATTTCAGCCGAAGCGTGGCAAAATAATAATAAAGTAAGCCAATCCAGAAATACGAGGGTTACGATAATTCCGACAAAAAAACGTGAATACAGAATAACTGAATGAAACGGTTAATACAGCATTCAGTTGTCCCACAGCGAGTTCTCTTGCAGTGACCGGCTGTGGCAAGTTGGCCCGTGACAAATTACCTTAGGGACACCCCTCCCAATGTACAGGGCTTCCCCATTTTCTGCAGCCAGGATTTGGGGTATGAAGCCCCCCACATTCCCTAGACCCTTGTGTAGAGGAGACCCAGGACCGAGTCGGGAGACAGTAAGAAGGTGGAGAAGGTGCAGAAAGGTACAGTGGGAAAGAGGGACAGAACTGACCCACAAAGGTAAATTGAGAGGGTGGGGGGGGGGGAAGTCAGCTGATATAAATTTTGCAAAAAACGAAATAAAAATAGCAGTCTGAAGGGGAAAAAAAAATTAATAATAATAATGGTCAAAGTAGTTCAGAGAAAGTTCCTTTCCTGGAGAATTAATTGTTTTGTTATCTTTACCCACCAAAGCATTTACTTGGTTTGTCGCCCGATCCACAAACACTTTCGAGGAGATGACATTACCGAATGGCAGGAACATCGCATCAGCTCTGCGTCCCCAAACTCCTGGGGCAGATGGTAGATAAACAGGTTGCAGCCCTCTGGTCCTAGGGGGAATGTGGAAGAGGACCAGAGAAAAGAGGGAGGGAGAGAAAGAGAGGGAGGGAGGGAGGGAGGAAGAGAGAGAGAGAAAGAGAGAGAGGGGGTGTAAGGTGCCAGCAAATGAGGATGTCCCATTGGGACAAAACAGGGGTGCTCACCCGTTGACTTCTACAACCCTAAGTATCTGAGAAACAAAAAAATTATAAAATTATCTTGATGCATAAAATAAAGAGGTAGATTTCTTCTTGGCCATATTGTTAAGATGATCCATAGGACATCAGTCCTGGCATCTAGCAGAAGCTAGTGATTTCAACCCTGTCAGGAAGCTTCTCAATATGCATAAAGTTATACTTCTCACTTTTTAATCCACGAGGAGGAAACTGGTTAGAAAACCCCAGAATTATTCTTTTTCTCTGTAGAGGGATACAAGAAGAGCAATGCAGGGTCCCAGGGAAGTTATCCTGAGGGTTGATCAAATACTACGGGCTATACTTCCCTCCGGAGGAGGAGGAGAAGGAGGAGGAGGGAGGAGGAGAAGAGGAGAAGAAGAAGAAGAAGAAGAAGAAGAAGAAGAAGAAGAAGAAGAAGAAGAAGAAAAGAAGAAGAAGAAGAAGAAGAAGAGAGGAGGAGGAGGAGGAGGAGGAGAGGAGGAGGAGGAGGGGGAGGAGGAGGAGGAGGTGGTGGTGGTGGTGGTGGAGGAGGAGGTGGAGGGGGGGAGGAGGAGAAGAAAGAAAAAGAAGAAGAAGAAGAAGAAGAAGAAGAAGAAGAAGAAGAAGAAGAAGAAGAAGAGAAGAAGAGGAGGAGAGGAGGAGGAGGAGGAGGAGGAGGAGGAGGAGGAAGAAGAGAAGAAGAAGAGGAGGACGGGGAGGAGGAGAAGAAAAGAAGAAGAGGAGGAGGAGGAAGAAGAGAAAGAAGAAGAAAGAGAAGAAAGGAGAGGAAGAAGAGGAGAAGAAGAAGAGGAGGTGGGGAGGAGGAGAAGAAAAGAAGAAAGAAAGAGGAAGAAGAGAAGAAAGAGGAGGAGAAGGAGAATTAGAAGGAAAAAAGAAGAGGAAAGAGGAGAAGGAGAAAACTTTTCATTTCTTCTTTAAAAGTCACTTTTGTGTATTTCCTAGTAAAGAATTTTTATTGAGAATATAAAAAAAAAACCCTCTCTAAATACCCAGACAAATTCCCATAATCAACAAGGATCGGGCAATTTAGTAAAAAAAAAAAAGGGGGGGGGATGAATCTTCTCTCTTTTTCAAGAATATTAGAAACAAAATCCAGCATCTGGTCTCCAATGACTTCGTTGAAAGAGGTCACGTGTGGATAGTATAGCAGAGTTTCAGGAATTTCTTCTCTGGTTCTTGGGATTTGAGTGAGGAAGAGACAGGTATCTGCAGGAATGAGTCATAATGTGAAGATGGATAAGAAATATTAGTAACACCAAATACGGCCTTGGTAAGACCACACTTGGAATACTGCATCCAGTTCTGGTCATCGTGATATAAAAAAAGATGTTGAGATTCTGGAAAGAGCACAGAGAAGAGCACCAGAGATGCTTGGGGAGCTGGGGTTGAAGGCTAAAATATCCAAAGAACGGTGGCAGGAAGTGGGTACACCTATTTTAATGAAGAGAAGGACTAACAGTAACATGATAGCAGTGTTCCGTTATTTGAGGCGCTATTACAACAAAGAGGGGGCCAACCTATTCTGAGGCCTGGACAAGAAACATCAGATGAAACTAATCAAGGAGAGAAGCAACCTAGACTAAGGAGAAATTTCTTGACAGTGAGGACATTAACCAACTTGCCTCCAGAAGTTGTGGGTGCTCCAACACTGGGGTTTTAAGAAAAGACTGGACAACCATTTGTCTGAAATGGTATAGGGCAGTGGTTCTCAACCTGTGGGTCGGGACCCCATTGGGGTCGAATGACTATTTCACGGGGGTCGCAAACAACGCACTCCGCCATTTTTTTCCCCTTTTCCTTAGCTGTGCTACTCCCTTTTATTCTATTGGCTTTTGAAAGCCAATAGAATAGACTCTCTTGAATAGAGTCTAATTCTATTGGCTTTCAAAAGCCAATAGGAATTGTCAGGCTGTCTCTGCCCTGCTGAGCCTGCCAAAGTCCCATTCTGCAAACGGTGCTGCACCAGTTGAGTAGTCCTCGACTTACGACCGGTTGAGTAGTCCTCAACTTACGACCGGTTGGGGGTCGCGGCACTAAAAAGGTTGAGAACTACTGTATAGGGCAGGAGTTGGATTAGAAGACCTCCAAGGTCCCTTCCAACTCTTTATCTGTATTCTGAGGCAGACAAATAGAGATGGATCTTGATGACATGGACACCATCACCATTTTTGGTTCTCTCTCGACACACACACACACAATCTCTGGTGGGGAGAAGGAACAAGGATGTCCGCCTTCTATCTAGAAGACTCTGATTTTTTAATGTTCTCGCTTTTCATTGGGGCATAATTACAATGTCATAACACTGCAAATTACAGCTTTGCCTTTCCTGTTAGGAGAAGGATTCACAAAGGTTGTTCGCCCTTTTTATGGGCCATTAGTCATTCCTCAGCTGGCAGGTCAGTTCGCCAAGTCAGGATTTGACAGATGCCCATTTAAAAGCTCATTAAAATTCCCAGGTCTTGGCGTGATGGAAAGTCCTGTTCTTTCGGCTGCATTTTCGTTTCGGATTAATAGAAAAGGGAAACCCTTCATGAAGATTGGCTGAGCACAATTTTTTTTTTCCAGGGTGGTTACAGAGGTGGATCTTCTGAGGGATACAAGGCTGTGGTAGAGTTAATTCAGATACTCTCAGAATCCAGGGGACGTTCTCTCCTCCCAAATGGTCTGCTTATTAAGGTACCAGAATAGAAAAGAAGACTTGGAAGAGAGCTTGGTGGTCCTCAGTCAACCTCCTGCACAAGCAGGAAACCATATAGCATTTCAAACGAATGGTTTCCAATCTCTTTTTTAAAAGCCTCCAGTGACGGAGCACCCACAACTTCTGGAGGCAAGTTGTTTCACTGATTAATGTTCTCAGTGTCAGGAAATTCTCCTGATATTTAGGTCCAGAATTTGGGGTCACTGAAAGGAATAAGTAGACCATGGCTGGGTCCATTCAATACTCCAGGTTGAGCAATAACTGTATCTAATTGTCCAACAGCCATTATGTTCTTTCCAATGGTTCAAATGAGATGGCCAACACACCACAAGGAACATTGCCTAATTCCGCAAAAGCAAGGATCTCCTGGAGTCACAATGGAGGCAATTGCCTTCTGACCCCAACTGGTCAACCACCAAGAAAAGTTTTGGTCACCATTAATATATATAAAAAGACGTTGAGACTCTAGAAAGTGTCCAGAGAGAGTAACAGAGATTATTAGGGGGCTGGAGGCTAAAATATATTAAAAAAGATGTAGCAAATGGTTTTGTCTACTCTAATGGAAAAAAAGGATTAGGGGTGAAATGATAGGAGTGTTCCAATATTTGAGGGGCTGCCACAAAGAAGAGAAGGTCAACCAAAGGACCTGAGGGTAGGACACAGAAGCAACGGATGGAAACTAATTAAAGACAGAATCAACCTAGAAATAAGGAGAATTTTCTCATTAATGAGAACAATTAACCAGTGGAAAACCTGCCTCTAGAAGCGGTGAATGCTCCAACACTGGAGGTTTTCAAGAAGAGACTGGACAGCCATTTGTCTAAATGGTATAGGGCAGTGGTTCTCAACCTGTGGGTCGGGACCCCATTTGGGGTCGAATGACTATTTCACGGGGGTCGCCAAACAACGCAGTCCGCCATTTTTTTCCCCTTTTCCTTAGCTGTGCTACTCCCTTTTATTCTATTGGCTTTTGAAAGCCAATAGAATAGACTATCTTGAATAGAGTCTAATTCTATTGGCTTTCAAAAGCCAATAGGAATTGTCCAGGCTGTCTCTGCCCTGCTGAGCCTGCCAAAAGTCCCATTCTGCAAACGGTGCTGCACCAGTTGAGTAGTCCTCGACTTACGACCGGTTGAGTAGTCCTCAACTTACGACCGGTTGGGGGTCGCGGCACTAAAAAGGTTGAGAACTACTGGTATAGGGCAAGGAGTTGGATTAGAAGACCTCCAAGGTCCCTTCCAACTCTTGTTATTCTGTATTCTGAGGCAGACAAATAAGAGATGGATCTTTGATGACATGGACACCATCACCATTTTTTGGTTCTCTCTCGACACACACACACACACATCTCTGGTGGGGAGAAGGAACAAGGATGTCCGCCTTCTATCTAGAAGACTCTGATTTTTTAATGTTCTCGCTTTTCATTGGGGCATAATTACAATGTCATAACACTGCAAATTACAGCTTTGCCTTTCCTGTTAGGGAGAAGGATTCACAAAGGTGTTCGCCCCTTTTTATGGGCCATTAGTCATTCCTCAGCTGGCAGGTCAGTTCCGCCAAGTCAGGATTCTGACAGATGCCCATTTAAAGCTCATTAAAATTCCCAGGTCTTGGCGTGATGGAAAGTCCTGTTCTTTCGGCTGCATTTTCGTTTCGGATTAATAGAAAAGGAAACCCTTCATGAAGATTGGCTGAGCACAATTTTTTTTTTCCAGGGTGGTTACAGAGGTGGATCTTCTGAGGGATACAAGGCTGTGGTAGAGTTAATTCCAGATACTCTCAGAATCCAGGGGACGTTCTCTCCTCCCAAATGGTCTGCTTAATTAAGGTACCAGAATAGAAAAGAAGACTTGGAAGAGAGCTTGGTGGTCCTCTAGTCCAACCTCCTGCACAAGCAGGAAACCATATAGCATTTCAAACGAATGGTTGTCCAATCTCTTTTTTAAAAGCCTCCAGTGACGGAGCACCCACAACTTCTGGAGGCAAGTTGTTTCACTGATTAATTGTTCTCAGTGTCAGGAAATTTCTCCTGATATTTAGGTCCAGAATTGGGGTCACTGAAAGGAATAAGTAGACCATGGCTGGGTCCATTCAATACTCCAGGTTGAGCAATAACTGTATCTAATTGTCCAACAGC